AATGAGATCTGAACGCAGCTATGTCCCTCTCTGCTGGAACCTGTCACGCCATGGGTCTAGATGCTGTGGCAGCTTGGACTGAGGCTCCACCTTCGCCAGCTTTAGGGGAAAGCCCGTCAGCCAGCAGGGGTCTGGCCTGCTTACAGTGGCCATGGCCTCCGAGCTTCCTCTGGAAGGGTTGGCTTTTTTCACTCAATCTAATTTTCTGGATGTTTATCCAGGTATTACATGTATCAGTAGGTCTTTCCTTTTTATTGCCGAGAGTATTCCGTGGTATCGATGTATCATAGATTGATTAACCATTCACCCATTGAAGGACACCTGGGTTTTGTTTTGGTTTTTTGTTTGTTTTAATTTGAGGCTCTAATGAATAAGGTTATATTATGTATAGGTTTTTGCTTGAAAATAAATTTTCCTTTCTCTGGGATAGAAGCCCTAAGAGTGTGGGTCATGTGATAGCTGTATGGTTAATTTTTTGAAGAAAATGACAAATTGTTTTCTGGAGTAGCTGTGCCATTTTACATTCACCCAGCAAAGTACTGGGTGATCTAATTTCTCCTAATCTTCATCAGTATTTGTTGTTATTTTATTTTAGCTATTCTGATAAGAGTATAATAAAATCTCATTTTGAGTTTAATTTGTATTTCCGTTATGGTTAATGATCTTGAACATCGTTTCATGTGCTTATTTGCCATCTGTATATTCTCTTTGATAGTCATTTTTTAAAAACCTATCTTCTAATTGGATTGTTTTGTTTACTGTTGAGTTTTGAGAGTTCCTTTTTATGTGTTCTAGATACTGGTTGTTTGTCAGATATATGCTTTGCAGTTATTTTCTCTCACTCTGTAGCTTTTTCATCCTTTTAAGAGTATGTTTTGCAGAGCAAAAGGTTTATTTTGATGATGCCCAGTTTATCAATTTTTCCTTTTATGGATCATGCTTTTGGTGTCAACACTAAAAACTCTTTGCCTAGCTCTGGAACCTGAGGATTTTTTCCTCTTTTTTTTTTTTTTTTCCTAATAATTTTATGTTTACATTTAAGTCTGTGGTCCACTTTGAGTTAATTTTTCCAAAAGATGTAAGAAATAGGTCGAAGTTCTTTTTGTTTTTATTTTTGGCTTATGGATGTTCAATTGTTCTAGCACTGTTTGTTGAAGAGTCTATCTTTCCTCCACTGATTACTATAGCTAACTACTAAGTCTTGAAATCAAATAGACTGGTCCTCCCTTCATTCTTTTTTTTTCAAAATTGTTTTAATTGTTCTTCATCTGTTGATGAGAAAGAGCTCTGTGACTTTGCAAAACAAACCCAGAGGGAGGATAATATTCCCTTCGGAGGGTGATTGTGAGATTATGGGCACTGACACATATAAAGTACTTAATATAGTACCTGGCATATGATGCAGACACTTAGCTTTCTTCCTGTTGATTCTAAACCAACCATCGAAAATCCTACACATACACACACACACAGACTCTCTCCCCCAGTAATACTGTATATTATGTTCTCTGTTTTATGTAAATGTGTTATATATGCAACCAGGTAAGAAATATGCCTTCAGTAAGAAATACATGTGAAGGAAACAACTCAAAAGGACTAGCTGTTACTCTCATCCACATCTGTAAATAGGAACTATCCAGTCTCCATTTCCTTCCCATACCTTCAGTTTGAGATATAAGCTCTGATAAGGACCTCAGTCAACTGGGAGGTTATGGTCTCATCCAAACATCAACAGAACTCATGCCCAGCCGGGAGACAGTGAGATAGGTTCCCAACAGGAAAATAAAAAGTGAGTATAAATATTGCCTAACTCATCAGAACCTGTTTCTGAATTGGATACTGACTATTGCTGGTAAAAGGGTAATGTCCTATTCCACTTTAGCCCACTGGCCTCCCTGCTGTTCCTCCCACTTTCCAGATACACTGTGACCTTTGCCCTGGTTGGAATGTTTTCCCCCCAGATATCCACATGGCTCTTTCATCTCCTTCAGATGTTATTCAAGTGTCACTTTCTCACGGAGGTCTTCTCTGCTCAGTCTATTGAAATCACTCTACACAACCCCTAAACCCAAAAAAGTCTTCTTCCCAGCTTTATTTTTCTTCTTGGCTCCTATCACCATCTAGCATAGAACATGTATATTTGACAAATTTGGTTAGATTTCACGTACTAACTTGTAAGCTCTATGAAGGCCTTTATTTCACTGTTGTATACTATGTACCTAGAAAGGTGTTTCTATGTAGTAGTCACTTGATAAATATTTGTTGAATGAATCAAGTAGAGAGGTTTCAAAAGACCATTGGAGAATGTCATGGCTTTTAACTATAATACTTTAAATCTAAGATCCATGGCAACCTTAATAGGGAAGATCTTAATAACCATTTCTTCTAGGAGAATATCAACGAAATAAACATATATAATAGATAAATACATGTTTCACAGATTCTCCTATTTCCTTTCCCAAATCTTAACCCACTCTCCTGCTGCCCTCTCCCCTTCCAAAAAAAGATGACAGATTAAAGGAAAAATGCATTTCTTGCCCATTGGCCTTCTCCTCTCATTCCACTGCTCAGGACCAAAATCTTGGATACTTTCTCATACCTACATTCAATTCAGGATCTATGATTACTCTCACGATCTTCACTGCTATTGTCTCTTGAAGCCACAATGAGCTTCTGCCTGAAATACAGCAAATTGTCTTCTAATTGGTTTCTCTACTTCCAAATTTGACTCTCCACAATCTATTTCCAAGTCAGCCAGAGTGTTATGGACTGAACTGTGTCTCTCTAAAATTCATATGTTTAAGCTCTAACCTCCAATGTAGACACAGCCTTTGAGACATTCAGAGACGGAGCCTTTATAGAAGTAGTTAACATTATGTAAATATGGTCATCAGGTTAGGGCACTAATCTGATAGGCCTCTCTCCTTATAATAAGCAACGGGGGAGAACTCAGTCTCCACCATATGGGGACACAGCAAGTAGGGAGCCGACTTCAGGCCAGGAAGAGAGCTCTCACCGGAACCCGACCACGCTGGCACCCTCATCTTGGACTTCCAGCCTTTAGAACTAAGAGAAAATAAATTTCTGTTGTTAAAGCTACCCAGTCTATGGTACTAGTAAGCCTAAACTGCCTAATACATAGAGTAATTCTTTTAAAAGCTAAGTTACACCATGCCATCCCTCTGTGTGGAACCCTCCATTGGCTTCTTACTCCTCTGAATATTAGTTAAGAGTCCTAAAAATCCTAGAAATTGTCTTTAGGAACCTATAAATTCTGGCTTTTCTTTCCTTCTTAATCTCATTTCCTACTACTCTCCCTATCCATCACTTCCTTCAACCACACTGGCCTCCTCTCTTGTGCTTGAACCCACCAGGCGTGTTTCCATTTCAGGACCTCTGCACCAGCTGTTCCTTCTGCCAGAATCCTCTTTTCTCAGTACTGTCATGATTCACTCCTCACTTCCTTTGAGTCTTTGCTCAAAAATTAATGACTTAATGAAAAAAATAATGAATTTGGGGCATCTATTTCTAAATGTCAGTTTACTATACTTGCAACTTTGTAGTTAGATTGTATCATCCATTATAGCTTAAAGGAATACTTAAGTTATAACTTCCTTTTATCAATAAAATGTTTGGTTTTCAATACCCTCAAGAACTATTGCAATAAATCCAAATAATATTCCAGTTCCTGATTATAATAGGAATGAGAGTCAATAAATTAGATCACCTGAAATGAGCTTATATTTTTAGTGATTTAGTTGTTGGTTTTTTTTTTGTTTGTTTTGCGGTACGCGGGCCTCTCACCGTTGTGGCCTCTCCCGTTGCGCAGCACAGGCTCCGGACGCGCAGGCTCAGCGGCCATGGCTCACGGGCCCAGCCGCTCCGCGGCATGTGGGATCTTCCCGGACCGGGGCACGAACCCGTGTCCCTTGCATTGGCAGGCGGACTCTCAACCACTGTGCCACCAGGGAAGCCCTAGACGAGTTTTTTCAGCAGATATTTGGTTAGTACCCACTATGCAAGGTTGACTGGCCACTGAGGATCAAAAATAAAATAGTCCCTACTTCGAGCAGCTTACAGATTAGTAGGAACCAATTCATGTTAAAATAATAATTGGCTTTAACACAAAGCAAAATTTAAATACAATTCTTTGGCAGTTTTAAATTTATTTCCCTTTTTAAATTAGATCCAAGTAAAAGTATATTCCTCTTTTTGTAAATTATTCTCATTAAACAAATTATATATCAACTAGCATAGAGATATATGTGTAATTATTTTCCCCAAAATTAGCACTAGTCATCTATAAGTGATGCTTGCATCATTTAAAAAATAAGCATGGGGCTTCCCTGGTGGCGCAGTGGTTGAGAGTACTCCTGCCGTTGCAGGGGACACGGGTTCGTGCCCTGGTCCGGAAGATCCCACATGCCGCGGAGCGGCTGGGCCCGTGAGCCATGGCCGCTGGGCCTGCGCGTCCGGAGCCTGTGCTCCGCAACGGGAGAGACCACAACGGTGAGAGGCCCGCGTACCGCAAAAAAAAAAAAAGCATGTATCACAAAACATGTTAGTACATTATTTTCAATAACAGGACTCGACCACAAGAACTAAAATAGAAAAGTGATGTGATATCCATAAACGAAACCAGTAAATTTAGCCAAGGGCCAGAAGTTTCGGTGCAGAGTACTCCTAAAGGGTTTCTGGCAAAAAGTTTGCCCTGGTCCTAACAGGCAGCATCTCCTATTTAAAAGTTTCACTCCTCCCCGACACAACCGTGGAAAACCTATTGGCGCGCGAGCTCTTCCTTTCAGCAACAACTCTTTGGTTCAAGATAAACTAAGTTGCAGAAGCTACCTGATTGGCTTAGAAATAATGACGTAAGATTTCTCAAGCCCACTGAGAATCGCCCTCCCCTAGCCTGGCTCAGATTCCGCTTTCCGATTGGTTCTTACGGCAAGAAGGCGGGTCCAATTGCTGAAGTTGACCTCTGGGTCGGGAACCCCAGCAAACATGGCGGCGGCCAGATGCTGGAGACTTGTGCTCCGTGGTCCAGGGCTGTCAGTGCACACAGCGGCCGAGGTCGCCGTCACGGCTCCCGAAGTGACCGGTCCAGATGTCGCGGCGGCCCCAGTCGCGCGCTACCCGCCGCTCGTAGCCTCTCTGACTGCCGACAGCAAGGCGGCACGGCAGCGGCGAGTGGAGCGATGGCAGGCCACGGTGCACGCGGCCAAGTCGGTAGACGAGAAGCTGCGAATCCTCACCAAGATGCAGTTCATGAAGTACGTAGTTTACCCGCAGACCTTCGCCCTGAACGCCGACCGCTGGTACCAGAGCTTTACCAAGACGGTGTTCCTATCGGGCCTGCCGCCGCCGCCGCCGCCGCCGCCTGCCAAGCCTGATATCGAGCTCGCGCCGGCTCTGGACGTAGCGGCCCTGCGCGCCGCCGCCTGTGATTGCCTACTGCAGGAGCACTTCTTTCTGCGGCGCAAGAAGCGTGTGCCTCTTTACCTGGAACGTGAGGCCATCGCCTCGCCTTTCTTGAACCAGCTGGTTGCCTCCCTCACGGGCCTGCTCAGCGCTCGCAATCCGGCCCTGGCTGCCGCCGCCCTCGGTGAGCCTCGGGCCCGCCACTCCGGGCGGGGGAGGTGGGGATGGTAGGGGACCTCTCTGCGCCAGATTTGCCCCCCTTCCTTTCTTTCTGCTTGGTCAGTTTTTTTCCCCAGTCCTTTCGCTCCTGGCTGGCGACAGCGTCCGGAGACTGGGTTCTCGTTCCTGCGCTGCCACCTACTCACTGTACAACCCTAGGCTAAGTAGCCTAAGCCCTCCAGGACTGCTTTGTGAAGGTCCAGACAAGTGTTGGTTAAGAGAAGGGGCTCCTGGAGAGCGGGACAGGCCTGGGGTTGCCATTTAGCTCTTCCATCAAAAAGTTACTGACCTTATGTTAGTTTATAAACCAATTCTGGCCTAGTTTTTCTCATTTTCAAGATGAGAATACGATAATAGTACTACTTGGTCATAGATAGAACTGTTAAGATTAAAGGCGATATTGATTAAAATACCTAACGTGTATTCGGTACTCTCTGTGTACCTGGCCCTGTTCTAAATTTTATATGTGCCAAATTTAATCCTCACAGTAACTTTACAGTAGGCAGCATTGTTTTATAAATGAAAAACAGATCCAAGGCACAGAAACGTAAAATGTATCTAGTTAAGGAGCCTGCAGCTGGTAGATTTGGAGGTCGGGCTTCAAACCCAGCCATTCTGGGTTCCCAGTGAATAATCAGCAACTTCTGTTTTACTGTTACATGCAGGCATGAAAAATAATTAATGGATAGACAGTTTTAAAAGTCAGTGTTTCTGACGTGTTCATCATTTTATATCAGCCACCCAGTAGGTATCTTAATAAATATCTATTGAATGAACGTTACTGTGACTGTAGGTGTGTGCTCAACTGAGTCTTGTAGTGTTCTTGTTTCTTCCCTCCCAGTTGGGAATGAAGCGGTCTTGAGAGAAGCGTCACAGACTTTGCTCGTGATTGATGGCCTGGGAAAGTTGACAATCTCGTCAAAACCCAGGTTCCTCTTCTGTATAATGGAGATAACAAGTATACATACCTTTGAGAGTTATTGTGAAGACTGAATTAGTAATTCATAAGACAGCTTTGACTCTTAATAAACTTTTTATTTCTGGTGAATGACGCTGCTGTTGGTTTTATTTTATGTTTATTCTTAACTGAGAAACCTCTTTGGTTACAATGCTTAGTGTAGTGTGGCACAAGTAGACAATAAAGGTTTGAGCGTTATATTAAAGTTGTGATTGTTTAAGTTAAATTATTACATGATCCAGACTATATCTTACATCAAAGAGTAATTTTTGATGTATTTTCAGCTAGCACGGTCATTCTTGAGTTCTGTATTGCTGAGTTTGGTGTTCTTACAATAACTAAATTCATCTAAATTATCATATAAAAATTTTTTGAATATCTTTTGATAGACTGTAAACGCCCCGTTCACTTCTACTGGTTGCGTGGTGAAGAAATTATTTCTCGTGGTCATCGGAAAGGTCGAGTTGATGCTTTGAGATACCAAATAAATGATAAACCACACAACCAGATTCGAATATCCAAACAACTACCTGAGGTAAAGATTTATTGCATATGTTTCTGTTGACAGTTGAGGAGGAAGTGTCATAGCAGGCTAGGTAATGGGCTACGTAGGATAAAAAGTTTTGGATAGAACCCTTTTCTTTCAAGTGTATTTGGAATATATCTCAGCTATAATTCTTTTTCAGCTTTTTAACTTGCTATATTATATATATTTTGCAGAGGTCAAATAACCGTTTTAAGTGGGGTTAAGTCCTCAGGTTTTAGGACCATACAAATCTTTCTTTTTAAATGAAAATACTGATAATAGTTTATGATTGTAATTTACAGTAAGCTACCCTACCTAATTATAAATCAAGGCATTTTTACAGCTATAAGCTGGTCATCTTATGTGTATACACTTCTTTTGGAGAAAACAAGTGTGTTTTGAGTGTCATCTGTGTGTCCATGTCAGTGGTTGGCACATTTCTTCTGCAGAGGTCCAGATAGTAAATATTTTAGGCCTTGAGCGTCATAAGTCTCTGTTGCATTCTCAGTTCTTATCATGTAACAGCAGCCGTGGACCATAGGTAAATGAATTTGCATGACTGTGTTCCAGTAAAACTTTATTTAGAGAAACAGGTGGCTGGCTGGATTTGGCCCATCACTAGATGGTAGTGTTAAATCATTTTGTAAAATCATCTCATTTTTAAGATTTTTAAATCTATTAAGAATGTGACTAAAACATATGCTAGTGTTGCTGTGAATTCACTTATGACTTTTTCTTTAAGTTTGTGCCGCTGGATTATTCTGTACCTGTAGAAGTCCCAGTTATGAATTGTAAGCCAGACAAACTTCCATTATTCAAACGGCAATATGAAAATACCATATTTATTGGTAAGTTTCCTCTTTTAATAAATGAGCTCAAAGTGTCCTGTGCAAATTTGCATAATTAGTTCTTTTATTTTATTTTTTTATTTATATATTTTTGCGGTATGCGGGCCTCTCACTGTTGTGGCCTCTCCCATTGCGGAGCACAGGCTCCGGACACGCAGGCTCAGCGGCCACGGCTCACGGGCCCAGCTACTCCGTGGCATGTGGGATCTTCCCGGACCAGGGCACGAACCCGTGTCCCCTGCATCCCTGCCTCGGCAGGCGGACTCTCAACCACTGCGCACCAGGGAAGCCCCATAATTAATTCTTGATGACCAAGAGGTTCAGATAGTCTATAAGCAATGTAATTCATCTCAGGTTGCAGTTTGCATGAAAATTGGAAAGAAAATATTCTTTCAGCTTGCCATTTAAAATTTTACTTGTTTCTACTGAATTAACAGTATTTAACAAATAGTTATGTTTATTAGGCTTTGTTTTATTATTTATATAGAAAAGTATTTTGTGTTTTTTCAAAAATAAACAGATAAGAACTGGATTTGAGGTAGTGATTGGCTTTTTTTTAACAAAAGCCTCCCATTTGTGCCAAACACTGATAACCATCAGGAATATAAAAATTAATAAGGCCTGATCTCTGTGCTCATGCAGCTTATACTTTGGCTGTTGAGGAAGATTTTTAAGAAAGCAGCTTTCTGCTGGTCCTCCAGAACTGTTTTATCAGTCCCTTCTCAGTCGCTGTGGTCTTAGCGAGTGAATTATGGGGAACTTTTGGTTGAAAAGACTTTACCACTAAAACCAAGAATGTCAGCATTATAAAGGAAGTTTTTAAAGTCATGAAGCGTTTGTATCCTTTGGTGATTATGACCAGCAGAATAACAAAGCTCCTAGTGATGACCGAGGAGTTTGAAAAAACTGAAATAATAGGGAATTTTAAATAAATTTTACATATATTCTTTTGACTTATCCTATGTCATAGTGAGCCGATGATAGCTAGCAGATTGTACTTTCAGGTGAAATTTATTATAATCAATAAAATAAATAAGCAAACCAAGCTTTCCATTTGTGTATTTTGAATGCTGATCACATAATGAGTAGAGGAGACAGATAGCCTTGAAGCACATACTGAGGACATGTGCTCCAGATATTCTACTTGTGTATTTCATCTGAAATGTTTTTATTTTGCTCTTCAGGCACAAAGACAGCAGATCCACACTGTTATGGACATACCCAGTTTCATCTGCTACCTGACAAATTAAAAAGGGAAAGGCTCTTGAAACAAAATTGTGCTGATCAGATAGAAGTTGTTTTTAGAGCTAATGCTATTGCAAGCCTTTTTGCTTGGACCGGAGCACAGGCTATGTATCAAGGTAAAACTAGTTTTATGGCATTATAGTTACTGGAAGACATTTTAAGAATTTAATAGATCAAATTGTTTTCCTTGGGTTAAAATGTAGGCTGAATCTTCACATTTTGAAAACATTTGCATTGGCACAAAATGCAGTTGTTTTAAAGTCCATAATTAAATATTTTACATTTGTAGTTGGTAAGTGGCACTTTGGTAGTTACTTGATCTTTCACTTTGACCATTTTTGTGTGAATGTATTTTTTTCTGATGATGTTCTCAAGCATTTCAAAGACCACCTAACTGAGTCAGCTCTGTAGATGACAGCAGCTTTCTGAAACTAGAAAATGAAATGTTTTCATGGATTAAATTTTAGATTAAATCACAGTTATGATATATAACTTCTTTGAAGGCCATATCTAGGGTGTGTGTTAGGAGACTTCATTCAGTTAATGGCTTATGGTTTTTACATACCGGGTGCTATTGGCCTTGGAGATATAGTGTTGAGTGAGAGAAACAGATCCTGCTCTCCTGGAGCTTATGTTATAGTAAGGAGAGTAAAAGATAATAAACATGTAGTATTTTTAGCTAGTGGTGTTACTCTGGAGAAACTATACTAGAAGAGGGGTAGAATGATTCATAGGTTGCAGGTATAAATGAGGCGTGGGGCAGAATCTATTTAAACAGAGTTAATTCAGGGGAGGTCTCTAAAAAAATGACATCTGAACAGAGACCTGAATGGTGAGGAGCTGCCTTTGCACAAACCTGGGAGAAGGGCACTTCTAGGCAAAAGGAATGGCAAGTAACTGAGCTAGGAACGGACTTGAAGTGTTGAAGGAACAACATGAAGGCTGATGAAGAAAGGGAGGGGGAGAATGGAAAGCGATAGGGGGTGAGAGAGAGGAAGCTGGAGGCATGCCATGGAGGACTTTTAGAGCCAGCCCATTGTGAAGCATTTGGATTTTGTTACAATAAAATATATACCTAGATTACTCCTATATAAGCATTGTGAGGAATTTTAATACAGATTTAATTGCTGCCAGGCTCACCTTTTTCCTTTATATATATGTATATATATATATATATACATATATATATATTTTTTTTTTTTTTAACCTTACACTCACAATTGTTGACTTACATTTTTGTAATAGAAATAAATGGATAAAGTAGGAATAGGAGTAGACAGAATCAGAAAACGTAGAAGGAAACTTTCTTGAAGATACTAGAATGGCATTGTTTATTCATAAAAGATAAAGTACTTCTTTTCACAGTATGATTCTATATTTTAACAATACTATTTATTGGCTATCTTCATTAAAGCTGATATAAAATATGTGTGGCAAAATTTATAAGTTACTCCTTGGCCCTGGCAGTTGGATTTAAAAGTATTAAAGCCAGTTAGCCTGGAACGAGAAGCAGCCAGAAAACTTGAGTAGTAAAGGTATTAAGATATCCTGAAACCTTATGATGCCATAAAATACACTAGGCAAAATGAAAGCAACTCATAAAATCAATTTTGAATTATAAACTAAGACACAGAATTCATCTAATTACATGGTTGAAGTTCTTAGAAAGTCAAGTTTTTTTCTGAAGGGCGTTTTTTTGGTAGATTTGGTGAAGTAAATGGCCGTAATGGTTATTGGGTGTTAGATGCTGCTGGTATAAGGAAAATTTGAACGTATTTGAGGTTGTGAGTAATCATGTGGTTAGTACCAGATGTAGGAGAGATCTGCATAGATAGAGCTTGCTGCTCTTCTTAGATGAAGTGAGTTAAGGTTGAAAGCTGATGAAGTCCAAAGTTGTTGAAAAGGTGTATCATGAACTTTGAGGATAGTAGAAGGAAGGAAATAGTTCTTGATGCAGAAATGGAATATAGGATTAGAATGGAGAAGATAGGGAAAACTTTGATATCTTTAGGAATTTGGTAGGTAAAATATATAGGTTTTAGGAGGTATTTTATATCCTCTAATGTGTGTGTTTTATTTTGGTAAAATATATTCCGTATGTAAGTTTCAGTATAACTTTCTTCTACAGGATTCTGGAGTGAAGCAGACGTTACTCGACCTTTTGTCTCTCAGGGTGTGATCACAGATGGAAAATACTTCTCCTTTTTCTGCTACCAGTTAAACACTTTGGCGCTGACTGCACAAGCTGATAAAAATAACCCTCGTAAAAACATATGTTGGGGGACACAAAGTAAGCCTCTTTATGAAACAATCGAAGATAATAATGTGAAAGGTTTTAACGATGATGTTTTACTTCAGATAGTTCACTTCCTACTGAATGGACCAAAAGAAGACAAATCACAGCTGTTGGTAAACTAAGAAAAAACATTTGATTTGAAACTTTGGGAATACTTAAATTTCACTGAAGGAACAATAAAAGGAATTTTGATAATGAGACTTCTGTCAAATATTAAATGTACTGATTTTCAGACAGATATTTCTTATGTTAACCTCTGAATAGACCTTTCATTTGGCTCAAAATACATCACTAAAGTTTTTAATTTTAGATATAGTATGTCGATTAAAAATAATTTTACTTATATGTGACTAACTGATGAGATTAATTGAGCAATCATCAATACCTGGTATTAACTGTGTGTGTAAGCTCGTACTACTTGCTGCATACCACTCACTGCATGACAGGCCAGTAATTTGAGAGACAAGGTATTGGCGTAAGGAAAAATGACGTTATTTGGAAAGCCAGTGAGCCAGGATGGCGGACCAACATCCTAAAGAATTATTTTAATTCAGGGTGGAATTCTAGCTTCTTTTATGCTAGGGAAGGGGGAAGCAGGGTGCCAGATAAGCTTGTGGACAGTCTTCTGACTTGTTGGTAATGAGATAACCAGGTGGTATTTTGGGAGTCAACATTAATCAACCTTCTGGTTCCAACCTGGCTGGGGTGTATGTGCTTGTGGTCAGCATGTAGTTAACTTTTTCTACCTGGTGAGAATTTTAGTATCTATAAAACAACTGAAGTATATGGTTCAGAATATTATCTATAGCCCTCAAGGAGGAACTATAGGTCTTTTGACTTTGTTTTATGGCTAAACTATTATTTTGTCTTGCTAGACTATTTTCCTTTGTTTCTGCATTGTCTCATTTCTCTGACTAAATTTGCTGTTTGGAACTCAGGGATGGCCTTGGAGGCTGAAGCTTTTCTACAAACAAGAGGCAGGGGATATGGGGGTTCTCTACCCTGGAAGGCCCTGCAGGTCCTGCTTAGTTTTCTGTGGTTTTAAAAGTAATATAAAGACAATTCAGTGCTTGAGAATATTTAGATGTTTTGTTATATTTTTTCTTTTTAATTTTTTATAATAATATCGTATAGAGTTTCAAAACCCTACACAAACCCCTTCAAGACATGAACAGTATTTTGCACATATAGGAAACTGGCACAGAGGAGTTAAAGTGACTTTAATAAGTTTTCACAGATGATTAATAATATAACTGATGAATTATATGCAACTTAGGTTCCTTAGAGCGTAGAAGTAACATTAACATATTTCTGCTAGTTTGATTTGTTCTATCCCAAAGATTGGGAAACTAGGTTTGATATGTTTCAAAATCAGTTGTCGGTAAAATTGTTAATCTTGTTGAGAATTAAAGTTCATTCAAACTAATTTTAGTGAGAAAAAATAATTACCTTTGTTGTTGTTGTTGTTGTTGTTGTTTTTTGGCCGTGCTGTGCGGCATGAGGGATTTTAGTTCCCTGACCAGGGATCGAACCTGTGCTCAGTGGAAGCACCGGACCACCAGGCAATTCCCCTAATTACCTTTATATGAGCATGCTAACACTTACGATTTTATATAACCTGTTGTAGATATCTAAAATAATCAATTATTTACTGTAGTTAATGACAAATGCTGTTTTTTCTTTCTTCCTTCTTCCTTCCCTCCCTTCCTCCTGCTCTTTCAAAACAGAGGTCACAGTTATATGGAATAGATGCCTCAGCTAGAAGGGATTATTTACTACAAATGATTGCTAAACTGAAGGAATATTATTTAAAAGTTGTAATTCAGTTCAGGCAAGTGCCTCCTTTGCAAGGCATTGTGCTAAGTGTTCCATCTTTACTTTCATTTTTTGCAGAATGCCATGTAATTTCACTCCACCATTCTTTTATTTAAGCTGTTTCCAAAGCTTGGAATACTGTTTTCTACCCCTGGTCCTGTTTATTCCAACCTGTCTGTTGCATTCTCATTCATCCTTCATAGAAAAATGCAGGTATAGAGGGAACAACCATATCAAGCTCCAAATAAAATATCTCTTAATCTTCACTCTCACTTTCTAACTAATTGAACCTTGGGCAATTTGAGTTACCATCCTTGATTTCTGCCTCCATAAAACAAAATAATTTCACAAACTTGTCTAAGGATGAAATGAGCTAGTGTATATGAAAGTGCTTTTAAAATATTACGTAATTAAAATATTGAGGGTTCAGTTGAAATACTTTTCTTTTCCTAAACAGATTGTAATTGATTGTCCTGCCCTTTGAATACTTTTTCCTCTATGGTAGCACCTGTTTCATTGTTTCACAACAATTTTTCTCATTACCAATGGTGGACAACACACACATCAGACATACACACCTGTATGTACATGTCAGAACTTCATAGAGCACTTACTATATTCTAGAGCATGGTCTACATATTTTACCAATATTAGCTCACTTAATCATCACAACCATTTTGTGAGCTAGGGACTGTTATTCTCATTTTGCTGGTAAGTTAACAGGCACAGAGAGCCCAACAGCTTATTGCAGGTCACACAGCTAGAAAGTGGCAGGATTAGAATTTGAGCCCAGGTGGTCTGACTCCAGAGCCTATGGTAGATATTCCCTAGTAATACACTATAGATGTAGTCAGTGCTACAGCAGTGTATCAGTGGTATAAACTTAGATAAAGGAAATGTTAATACTGACTGATATGAATCATGGGAATGTGCCTTGGAGGAAGTAGAATTTGAATTGGTTCTTGATAGATGGCATTTTCCAAAAACAGGAGAGTTAGTGGATAGATCTGTGAATGAAGATGAAAAGTTCAAGATTTACCTGGGAAGTAGGCGGTAACTTGCTTTACCCAAGTAGGGTGTAGTCTAAAAGCAGTTCGAGAAAAAATTTATTTACTAAGAAAATGTAATTGGTGTCCCATTTACATATAACACTGAACATTAGGAAACAGTGTAGCAATGTTTAGACTTCTGGGGGAAACATTACATCAGAAGAAATCTAAATTAGTCAAGATAAATATAGGTTAGGACAATTGAAAAAAATGTTAGAACACCCAGATTTCTTACCAATTCATCAAAAATGTATTGCGGTTGATTAGCACATGATTTAATAGAGGAACCAATGAATGGAGGAATCAAAATGAATAAATGTAATGAGTACACAAAGTCGTATCAGGCAAAAGTAAGCATAAAGCAGGGTTAGTACCTATAATTTCAAACAATTCAAGGCAAGAAAAGAAATCTAGTGTTAAAAGGTCATTTTATGTTATAAACTATAATCAGTGTATGAAATGTTAATCTTAGTCTTGAGAAGTTGGAGTAACTAAAAATGAGGAATAATGAGTAAAGGTGACTTAATAAAATTTGGTATCTTACAAACAGAATAGATATTTTAAAATGTGATAGAACGTGTATACAGGATCATTTATTAGACCACAGAAAGTGTCAGGAAATTCTTAAAAGTGGGAATCATATAGGTCATGAACTCTATCCACACCACAGTATACCCAGAAATTGTTAGTATAGTTTTAAACCAGGAACACCTAATCATTTGAAAGTAAAAGTATATTCCTCAATGGTTATTGCCTGTACAGAATTTTCAATATAAAAATCAAACACTCCCAGAACTATATCACAATCTAAAAATGAGAGCTAGTTATCTTACTTGGCTTTTCATTTTTGTCAGATGTATTTTTATATGATCTGGACAGTTCTTCCTTTCCTGTGCTTTGGGCAGGAAAGCATTGTATTAGTGTAAGTAAAACTTTAGACTAAAATACAAATCCTGCCTATAAAAGCTAGTGGGATATAGCCAAAGTTATTCTGAATAAATTTACTCCTAAGGATGCATGAAGGTGCTGTAGGAGAGAATCACTGAATAAACATAATCTCTTCCTTTTGCAGTTGTCAACTAACTTTGCTTTAATACTTTTTGTTTTTGTATTAAAACACATGGAGTAGAATGGGAAAAGCCACATGTATTTTAAAAGATAAAACATGAAGTTCAGAGAAATTTTCACTAATCTCAGAACTCTGGAAGAGCATCATATCTTGCTTTTTGCAGTCTTACATTTGATTTGGTGCCTGATACTAGTATACTTAGTGGCAAATTTATAATGTTACATGTTTATGTAAAGCAAGAAAATAAAATCTGTATTTGCTAGAAGAGTTTAAAGAAACAAACTAAAGAAAATCAGAAGAAGAAAATATAAATGTAGAAGACTGAATTGGAAGAGAAAGCAGACTTGACAAGTAGATGCACTAACTGGTTCTTTATCCTAGCCCCTCTCATATCAGTAAAAGAGTTAATATTCTAGTAAATCTAATCAAGAGGAAAAAAGAAAACATTTAGAATTGGAAAAGGGGAAGTAATATACTTGGTGGAGGCTCTAGATAGATAGGAAAATGCTATATATAACAAATTTGGACATTTTCTGCTGAGAAATATAAACAAAATGATAAAGATAGAAAGCTTAAATGGACCATGGAAGAAACTGAAAATATTTCTAAGATACCTTCCGACAAGGGTCCAGAGCAGTACAGTTTATCTGTGAATTCTTTAAAATTTCCATGAAACAAAACTAAAGTTTGGAGTGCTACCCAATTCATCTTATTAACTCATCCTAATTTAAAAACAAATCTCTAAAAACATACAGGTTAAATGCACATTTGTATATAAATGCAGAAATTCCAAATGAAATGCCACATACCAACTTCAACAGTAATTTAAAAATCCACCCTAATAGGGTAGAGTTAATCATGGAAATTCAGTACCAGATTGATGTTAGGAAATATGCTAACATCAGTAGTTCAAAGGAAAAAAAATAAGGCTTTTGATAAAATTCTTAACTCTTGGTTAAAAAAGCAAAGAAAAATGGGTGTAATAGAAGTATATTTTAATAAGAGTTTTATGTTAGTCAACCCTCAATTTATGTTTAATGGTGAACAATAACTGATGTTCCCACTGAACTCAGGTAAGACTGCCAGCTTTGACCTTTATGTGTGGTTTGCTGATTCAGTCCAGGTGCCTAGAATCGTACAAGCAAGCACTCCAAAGTTTGTTGAATAGATGTGAATTAATGAACTTAAGGTAGTCAGTCTTTCTAGTTTGAAATCAGGTATATCTCCTCATTTATGTGCACTTTTCATATCTCAGCAAAGTTAGTTT